AATTGCCAACTGAAACTACTGATTATCAGATGGAGATATATTTCATAATATTATTAATTTATTTAACATATATATATATATCAATAAACTTTTGGTTTCGAATTTTTTAATTAATTTGATTGGTTGATTGCATGATCTGCATACAAGTTTAATCGACCAATGAGAGGATTTTTAACTATGCTTGCAAAATGACAAAAAGTTAGACGTGTAAACCTTTTTAATGAACAAATGAAATATCATGAGCTCACCATAACAAACTTGATAATATTAACAGCCGATTTTAGATTTTCGATATGTTGCAGTTTCAAATGTCGGTCCGGGAAAGACAACGTAAAAACCCTCAACTAAATCTTCAACCAACATTTGACCACTTGTGTCAGCAACCTGCAAAAAAAGAACATTGATTTTTTTCGCCTGTTTATCATTCAAGTTGCGATTTAACAAGCCGTTTAAAATTGACTGATTTATCCGTGCAGATCGACAACGGTCACCAATCGCCTTTTGTGCCGTTAAGTTTGACGCGAATTCCCACTCTCCTATATCTACTCCTAATGCTGATAAGAAGCGTACATCACATTTGCGACCCTTGTTGTATTCTGTACTTCTAGTTAATGGGCAAAAAGACTCACCCCTTTGATACATAAAATTATGGTGTTAATAACCCGTGAAAGCATAATCATAAAGAAACATATCTCATTATTGATTCATTCACACAGACCATCTTTGGCGTATTACAAGGTCTTTGTTCAATCCTTCAATGATATACGAGCAGGTCTTCAGAATTACATCGATTTCTGTGTGTCCATAATCCAACATATCTATCTGGTCTTTGCATCTATAAATACTGAACACAGAATTAAATAACGAAAGAAAGAATAAATAATAGAAAAAATATATAGTATATCAAATTACTCACAAGTCGGAATATATTTTACTAAGTTTGTACATGTAGCTGTTCTCTTTGGAATTAATGTACGTCTTAATACAAAACTCATACGCCTCGTTTGCTTTTTGTTCACATATCATCTGTATAAGGATAATGAGTCAATATGCATGTACATAAGAACATGTACATAAGAGCAAGTAAACTCGAAAAAATGTACATACACTCTCAACTGTTGTTACAAATGAGCTTTCTTCAACTGCCATCTCAGGAACTTTGCAATATAGCATTGTGATTTTTCATCATGAATTTCCTGTCATCAACGGAGAACCAATCCTTCATATTTGTTGATAAATCAATTATTCGTGATGATCCGTAACGTAATATGGCTCTTTCTATTGCTGATGTTTTTTCTTCTTTTGAATTGCTTTTGCATTTGCAGATATGTTTCTGGCAGTAATATCACCAACATTTTTACCAGAGGGTAGAATCCTTTTTTTTTTTTGACTACTAAGTATAGAATCGAGGGTTTCTTCAGGAGCTGGGACATCTTCGTCGTCATCTTGTTCGTTATCCTCACCACTGTGCTCTTCGGAGGAATCTTCATCATCTGGAAACAGGCCGATTTCTTAATCTTAGTTCCATCCGGTAAAGTATCCCCCTAAAGAAATTAAACTCAATTACTTCTGTAAAAGGTTTTTTTTTTGCGGACAAAAATTTAAGCTATATACTAATCCTTTTTCTTGATGACGCTTTCTTTTTTTGTGATTCAACTGACTCTTCTTCATGAGAACGGACTCGCTTACGTTCTAGTAATATTGCCAATATTCATCATTATTCAGAGAAGAATACATATATATGAAAATTAAATGTATTACCAAAACGTAATTTATCTTGCGTGATACTGAAAATTGTATTGTTGACGTCCTCATGTAATTCTGAAACTCGACCAATCATCTTGTTAGTATTGAGGTTCACCGCCGTATTCAGTGTTTCTAAAAAAAAAGGACAATTCCTCCAGAAGATGTCGATTTTAACTGAATTTGCCTCTCTCTAATGAATAAAATAGAAAAGAACAAAACCCCATTCAGACGTATCCTAAAGGTGCCCGATAGACGTATCCATCGGCTGTCAGACATATCCTAGCACCTTCTGGGTAAATTAATAACAAATCACGTTGCAAAGAAGTTATGCCCATTCAGACGTATCCTAAAGGTACCCGATAGACGTATCCATCGGCTGTCAGACGTATCCTAGTACCTTCTGGGCTCTTCATGATTAAAATAAACAAAAGTTTCAAATCTTAAATTTCTTTAAAGCTTCTTCTGCTAACTCCCGAGCTGTTTCACCATCACGAGGTTCTAATAGTTTCGGGTCATTCAAAATTGCTTCTAAATACGTCCTGTAGATACGATGCTCCATATCAGCCCATTTGTGTCGTGTGACATATTAATTATCTGATCGATTACTGTAATATGTCTCGCAAATCTAGAAATAACAAACGTAAAATTCAAGGTAGGTTCACTATGAATCCTACACAATATTTACAATTTCAAAACAGGGATAAGTCTATGCACATCATAAGTGAGGAGCATATAACTATCATAAATAGATATGAAGGCAGTATTATCACGGAGAGGTATGTATATACCTCGAGGCAAATAATGATAATCTACGTCTTCATCGGGAAGAAAACAACCAATTTCTGGAATTATAAATTGCCTTTTTTTTCGGTAAAGAATCCATTGTATCCACAGCGCTTCGTTTTTTTCTCATTACATATGACGACGACGACGGTGGTGGTGGTGATTTATTTTTGTTAATCTTATTCCATAAGCTATTTTATTTACTTTATTAATATCGGCCTATATAAAAAGCAGAGTCAAGTGAGAAATATTTCCCAGTGAGCATAATTAGGTAAATAAAAATAAGATTAAGATAGCTGGATGCAGGAATATACCAATGGTTAAGATTTTGTTGTATTATAAAGGAAGATACATAACCTATTCCTTCTCCAGAACCAGTAGACCTTCATCAAAAACTTATATTGATAGATCCCATGATGTTTACTAGGGTGAATCCAATAAACGCATCCAATTCAGTACTTGCAAGGGTAAGAGTTACCCCAATCCTATTAGGGCGAATCCAATAGGTACAAAAACCTGGCTAAGCCCTATTCATCTAGATTTATTATTCTTAATTATACTTACCCTCTTATTTTTTCAGCAATATCACGGACTTCTTTCGGCATGCGTAAATCGTTATTAATGTTCTGTAAAGTATTAAAGAATGCTTGATGCGTCTTATCTTTTCTGCATATTGAAACGTAGTGATTAAGTGACCATCTTTTACAAGGAAAAAACTCGAAGTATTTGGGATAAGGGAGTTTCCTTGGACGTAGGCAATAGTAGTAAGCATAATGAGAATAGATTTATGTGTTAGAAGTTGTATGTCAAAAATTGTAAAGCAGTTAGCGAAAAAATTTGCAAGAATCAAACTTATTTTTTTATTTTTTAATCTTTTAATAAATTGAAAGAAACGCGTTAAATTGTTTTCAATTAAAAAATCGCGTGTATTTACAAAAATATTGCAATCCACCTTTCCAGATTAGTCAATCTGATGCATGGTCATGTGTTGTACGTACATTAGTACTGAAATTCTAAAAATAATTCTTGTTGCAGTCCCATTAAAATGTCGTAGCATACTGATTGATTATTGTACCTGAGAGTTTGAAACATTCACAAAGATACATTGTTCGTTCGTTCGATAATTGTACAGTTTTTTATTTGTTATTTGTTTTAGTATCATAAAAACTTTATATTTATAATGGCATTAATATTAGGCAAAACTTTGGCAAGATGCGTCCAATTCATCGGCTCTGTTGGTTGATCTGGTGTTGTATTTATTTATTTATTTAATTTTTTTTTTGTGATCAAATGCAGAAACTTTGAGTAAATTTCTTTGCAAATATAATAGTGGGATTTGAAACGGTGACAATTACAATATTTCAACCACATGGATGAACTAAACCTACAAAACTACCCAGTTAAAACCTTCCTGTGTCTGATGTATTCTGGAATCCACCTATTCATCAAGAAGGGGTGCCAGTCACGACCGATAAAAATAGAAATAATTTAATTTAATTTGGGATTAGAATGAAAATGTGTGCAAAAAATGTGCGGTGAATGTGCAGAGAATGTGCAAAATGTGCAAAATGTGCAAAATGTGCGGAGAATGTGCGGAGAATGTGCGGAGAATGTGCAAAATGCGCAAAATGTGCAAAATGTGCGGAGAATGTGCGGAGAATGTGCGGAGAATGTGCAAAATGTGCGGAGAATGTGCAAAATGTACAAAATGTGCAAAATGTGCAGAGAATGTGCAAAATGTGCGGAGAATGTGCAAAATGTGCAAAATGTGCGGAGATTGTGCGGAGATTGTGCGGAGATTGTGCAAAATGTGTGGAGATGTGCGGAGATTGTGCAGAATATGCAGAAAAAAATTAATATTTTTTTTTTGAAGTCAAAGGAAACGGAAACAATGGTAACGATAGCAATAGTAATTGTAATTGTAATAGCAATAATATATATTTACGTTTCAAAGAAATTTTTCGAAATAAAAAATTTTTTATTCTATTATTATCTAAACGAAATTTTGTCTTGGAATGTAAGCTTAAATTTTCTTCGCGCGTTTCTATTGACATTATTAATATATACAATATATATATATTTCTTTATTATGTAGTTAGAAAAAAATTAATGTACCAATTAAAGAAGAGAGAAAGCCTTTACGATTACAATCTAAAGAAAAGAATTTATTTGTAAATTTAATTGTTTTATTGAATATAAGCGTTGTATGATTTTATAACAGCAAATCTTGATGAAAATGATTTAGATATGTATGTACCCAATGATCGATCACCTCTCCTTCAAATTGTATTGCAAATCCTTAGATACAGATAATAATACAAATTTTAAAATAAACAAAAAAATACCGTTGTTACGTTGTAGACAAGAAAGTTCATAAAAAATTTATATTTTTTGTAGCTAACTTGCTTTCAAAGTTATAATTTCAATTGTTAAAAATCAATTTACTTGAAGAAAATCGCCTTTGCATATATATATATATATATATATATAACATATGAGGTTTTTGATTTTGAAAATTGTTTTGAGCTCGTAGAACATATATCAATATCTACAACGTAATAGAGCCATATTGCAAATGTAAGTTTAACAAAAAGATAGCATCAAAGTTATAAACATTTTTAAATCCAAAGCAATTTTTTGCAACAACAAAATAATTCGTTTAATTGTCAACATGTTATTTTTTGAATATACTAATAAAGAACCCATGAAAAGTCGTGACAAACTTGGTTCCTCCTAATACAACTGTAGAGCAAGTAGCAAAAATTGATATTGAATTGAAGCAGTTTACTGATAGTTTTCCTTTGTATGATTGGTGGTTTGATAAGCATAAAAAATTCTGGTCTATCAGAATCGAGATGTTAATGCTGCCTGTAACATAAGGAACATTTTTTCGCGCATAAACACTTATGGAGAGACCTGATCCGTTTATAAGGGGGACTTTCCTAGATTGACATCTTTGCTGCCATTTTAATTGTAGCAGGATATGTCTAGCTGGTGGCAACAGCAACTATGGTGACTTTTTATGAAGGATTTAAATCTTCCTGATTTAATGTAATAAGATTGTTTACTTGTTATCAATAAACCTGCGAATATATTTTTTTAAATGTTGGCCAAAAATAGTGATAATCGCTCTTAGGATATAATAATAAATATTTATGCAAAAAAAAAAAAATACTATTATTTTTTTAAAATTATAAAAAAGATGATAGAAAATATTACAGAAATCATTCATAATCCAGATTATCATGATGTTCTTGCTATTGTTAAAGGCTTTCGTAATGGAGCTGTTTATGGAGCAAAAGTTAGATTTCCTCATGCTCTTGTCATGACTTTATTATTTCGCTCTGAAAGGTAAAAGATATTTACTATCTTTCAAAAAATTCATGTTGAATTATTTTATTAAAATTTATATTCTCTTCACGCAAACGCATATATATAAATATTCAGTTTAAAGGATAAACTTATTCTTGTTTTTAAAGCTACAAAACAACATTCAAAAAATTTAGCATTTTTTGTTACAACATATAAAACAATGATGTATTTACAAAAACTTATTGTTGGCAAAGAACAAAATGGACATTCATTCATAGCAGGGTTAATTGGTGGATACTTGGTGTTTGGCGAAAATAATAATGTCAATCAACAAGTAATGATAACATTTCTAGATATCATAATTATTATTCAAATATACATACATATATTCAATTTTACTTATTTTAAATTATTTATTTATAAAGATTGTACTTTATGTATTTGCTAGAATTATGATTGGATTAGCAAAACTACCAGTGTCTCACAAAGTAATGAATGAACCAAATAATTCGTTTCCTATATTTGCAGCTTTAGTATGGGGAACTGTTATGTGGTTGTTTCGTCATAATCGTGATGTGTTGCAACCATCTTTACAATCATCTATGCAATATTTATACCTCGACTCTAATAATTGGAATTCCCTTAAAACTTTCTTGTGGCATAATAAATAATAATATGTTTATATATTTTTTAAAAAAACATAAATTATTTTGTATTAGGTAAGAAATAGATTTATTATTTGTAATAATAATAATAACAATAATAATTATTTTTGTAATTAATTAAAAAAATTTTTTGAATTAATATTTTTTCAAGAAGAAATATTTGATTTATGATTTTCTAAAGTTAAAATTAAAGATTGTGAATTTCTTTCTAATATATTAGATAATATGGTTCCTGATTGATTTAATAATCCAATCAATTCACCATGTAAATATTTTAAATTTGGCAATTTAGAAATTTTTTCTATTTCTTCAAAATTCAATAAATTATTATCCAATTTACCTCCAAGTAATAAAATTTTATTATGTTTGCTTAGAATCTTTAGCAGATCTTTAATTAAATTAGGGTTTTCATGATCGCTGACATCCGAACTTATTATGTATGTTGGTCCTATAGTTAATGGTCTCATATTTGAATAAATTATAGATTGCTCCAAGACTGCCGATAAAATTGTTGAACGTGCAGCCATTACTTCTACCTTTAATTTGTCTAATTCATTACGAAGTGATTCTTGTTCTTTGATTGTAAGATTATTATGTTGTGCCAAAAAAAACAATCGATTATTATGAAGAAGATGATAATATATGTTAAATAAAAAGATCTTTATATCTGAAAATTTGTTCCCATATCTAGATTTTGATTTTTGCGGTGCTAATGGAAATGGAATGTTTCTTGATTTTATATCAGCTCCTTTATTGTTATTTAATGAAACGTTATTTGATTTAGTAATATCTAATCAGATTAAAAAAAAATCCCACATTACTATAAAATATTTTTTTTTCAAAAATCTGAAAATTAAAAAAAATTTATTGCATACACGATCTTAAAGGAATCATAGATAAATTATTTGATGATAAAAGAACATTTTTATTAAAATATTTTAATCCTAAACAAACAAATCTTGTTTTCATTTTATTTTTTTTTTTTAAATAAAAATCGAAAAATTTTTTTTTGCAGATGAATACATTTTCACTTGTTACACGTGATCAGATAATTGAAGTGGTTCCATAAAACCATTAAATAATTACTATTACAGAGATATAAATGTATATAGGGAGAACTGGGGTGAGAAATTCAAACTTTTAATACAATAGCCAATATGTTGATCAAGGTGTTATATCCCCCCTTTTTAATTAATTTCCAAAAAAATAATATTCATTTTAAAGTTTTTTTAAATAGTAGTACTTGCATTGAGCCTCGGTTCATGTTTAAATTCAACGCAAGTAGTTCTTACTAATAATAATGGTAATGCTATGTTGAAATGAAATGAAGAAACTGACCAAGTGATATAAAAAAATAATAGTATATATATATATATATATATGTTAACAGTTTTGATTTAACTACTTTTGTACTAGTACATATCTTAAACATAAATGTTCATCCAGTTTCAACTTTAAAATACTTCTCAAAATCGACTTTACAAAACGATAAAAAACTATTCGTGTATGATAAGCATATTAATATTATAATACATAACCTTATTAGCTTATATACGCGAAAAAATTTAATTAAATTTTATGTGATACAACCTTAATTAATAAATAAAATTACATTGTGATCATTACTTTTCACCTGAAAATGATAAACTACTTATTTATATTAAATTTAAGGATTTTCTTTTTTGAATTAATTTAATTTTTTAAATTATCAAAATCAAAATGTCTAGTGAAATACTTGACTACAGTTCATTCAGAATGAATAATAATGATGATGATAATAATAATAATAATTATTATTATCAAGAAGATGTAAATGATATAGCTACTTTTCTACCGTTAATGTTACAAGCTCAGGACCTTGTAACTAGATTGGAGAGTAGGGTAATTGAATTGGAAAATGACCTTGAGACGATAAGTGGAGTTCACGAACAAGAACGTGAACATTTACTTGAAGAAATTGGAGAAAAAGATGAATATATTTATAATCTTCAAACCAAAATCAATAGATTTGAATTTGGTACAAAAGAAACTATAACTGTTTTAGCCAAAACTTTAGAAACCTTTAAATCACGAATTAATATTAACAACAACAATAATATAAATAATGTTGAAGACGATAGCTATGGTGATCGTGCTACAACAATTGAACAAACGGATTTGGAAGGACAACAGTTTTTGGATTGCATCAAATTATGTTTAACTTATTTGAAAAATTCCTATAATAATAATGGTAATAGAAATAGTAATAGTAATAATAACAATAATAACAATAATAATCGTAGTAATAGTAATAATAATAGCACTAGTAGCAACAGTAACGATTATCAAAAACAAAGTCGTAAAAGTCATAAAAGACAATCATCATCGTATTCAATCCGTAAAAGAAGAGATTCAAAGGTTACATTAAGTGATGATGAAAAATTAGATCATAAATTAAATATTGTTGGATCGAATGTCGTTACCAGCAGGGCATTAGTTGATCAAAGTTTAAGAAGAGAATCTATTATTAGCCAAATTTCATTGGATGATCTTGGTGGACTTGATGAATATGATTTAGATGGTGAAGAAGATATAGCTGAATTTAATATATCTGATGAGGAAGATTCTAATGTTCAAAGAGTACAATATCATTCATTAACAATGACATCATCACCATCACCATCACCAAGGAACTCCTTTGATGGGTCACGTGTAGAAAAAGAAAAAAGGAGACCAAGTGTATTATCATTTAAAACAAAAAGTTACACAGAAGAACATGTAATAAGTGATAAAAGTCTTAATAATAGTAATCGTAATAATAATAGGCATCGTCACCATAAATCATTAGGATCAATTGCAAGTATAACCAATACTAATATTGCTACTGATACTGATAATGCTACTGCTACCACAGTAAATTCATGTACAAATTGTAATCTATTACTTGTACAAATAGATCAATTTATTGATGATCGTGCATATCTTAAACGAGATCTTTCTAAACTTGCAACTTCGCTTTCAAAAGAACAAACTATTCGTAAACAAATTCAAGCAAGTAGGAAAAATTTAGGACAAGAAATTGATCGATGGGTAAATGTAATGTTTGAAAAAGTCAATCATATGGTATCTGACGAAGCTAGGGTACGAGAAGAGCTTGGTTTGTTGAATAGAGAATATGATGGGAAATTTGAATCGTTGATTAAAACATCTGATATTAGGCAAGAACAGCTACGAGAATTAAAATCATTATTGATTCATATTGATTCTACTAAACAAAAACGAGTTGGTAAAATAATAATAAATGATAACAATAACAATAATGATAATAATAATAATAATAACTATGATAACAGTAACAAAGGTTCAATGATTTATCCAGATAAAATTTCAGAATTATCATCAGCCGATAGTTTCATGACCAATGAAATTAACAAAAATGATGAATTTGGAGCAACAAAAGGCAAAAATATTTACATCGATGGAATAGCATTCGAAGAATTTCAAGAATTTATTAAATCATTGAAGACATCACCAACGTTTAATAATAATGCACCTAATGCTACGAATGCATTTATGAAACGATGTATGACAGAAGACATTCAACCTTGTCTTTTTGAAAAAAGTACTGGGTGGAAATCACCATTCTACAAAAAAAGGTTGATAGATGCCATAATAAAAAATCAATGTGAAATTCAAAAAATATCATCGAGTAAATCAATCTCTAGTCAAACCAGTAGTGATAACTCTTTAGCAGCAACGGCAGCACCAATAATAGTAAAATGTGGACTTTGTGGAATGTTAAGAACTTGTGAATTTGCTATGAGATTATCAGGATCAGACGCAACCGTTCCATCGTCAATAAATGCTAATGGTGGATGGATTCTACTTGATCGATTTTGCAGAGATCGTATTGTAGCAGTATGTGATTTCTATGGATATTTATCACATTTGCGGCAAGGATTATTTAATAATTCGCCTATATGGAAAATGTATAAACAGTGCTTGAAATATCGTAGGAAAATGAGTTTAGCACGTGTTGGAAGTGTCAGTGTGTTTGAAGATGAAAACAACAATAACAATAATCTTAACAATAATAATAATAATATTTATAATTTTTTAAATACTGGCAATGATTTATTAAATAATTCTGAAATGGAAATGGAAGCAATGGTTTTACTTGTTCATTAATCAATTGATTAATTGATATTAATATTAATATGTATATATATATAGTATTTTTTTTTTTATTTCTTCCAATTCTTGGAAGAAAGCAAATTTATTTATTTTATTTATTTTTAAAGTGCATAATTATTGTATATTTTTTAATAAATTACCAAATATGAATTTCTAACCTCTTTAAATCATTACCACCGATAAGTTCGTTTTTAGCCAATTTCCAATGGGCTTCATCGCTCAACATTATCATATCATTATTACAATTTTTATAATAAATATATTTAAAAATTTTCGTTCCAAATCTTTGTTCAAGTTTTTTTAATAATTGATTGAATGATGCGTCGATTGGAAAAGATATTGCACGACGTTCAGTTGGAAATACACAAGTTATATATATCTAATAATTATTAGAGATATATCAATAAAAGTAATATAATAATACACAATGGTTGCGATGATTACGACAAGATTCTTACATTTTGATTATCGTCTTCAATGATACTTTCATTTTCTAGTTGATATTTTTGAAACCATGATGTATCAATTGCTGATTCAATGAGTTTTAAAGATAATTCGTTTGTATTTTGATTGGTTGTTACAAGATTTACAAAAGATGATTGATCTAATTTTCCATTTGTAGGATCATCGTCGGTTACTGTAGGATCAAGAAGATAAGGAAATCCCCCAAGGTGATATTGATACTTGCAATAATTGTTATTGTTATTATTATTAACATATTAACATTATTAACATATTAATCAACGAGAAAATAAAAATATAAAAATTTTTACCATTCTTTTAAAATTTGGTTTAAATTTTAACAATATATTATAAATGACATTTTTACTTTTATTTTTATTTTTGTGGTTTTCGTTAAGATCATTATTAAAATTATTAAGATTATTGATAATTTTAAAACCTAATAATTGATCCGCTGGTATAACAATTTCATCTTTTGTGCCATTTAAACAAATTGATATTTCAAGTTCTTTATGTTTAAATAAGAATGCCATATCGCCATCATTTTTACTATTGATGGTGGATGATTTCTTGTATTCATCTTGTAATCTCGAATATATAATAAAATCACAAGAAATTAAATCAATTTTAATTATATTGTCAAATTTATCAGTCATTGCAAATTACTGATGATCTTGAAACGTATACATACAAATTTAATTAATTTATTACATTTCCTTAATAGAGTTGTAACACATTCAATATTGTTTTTTAGAAAAAAAAATTTTAAAGTTGCTTATTATATTTATTAATTATTTATTATTTATTTATATATTATACTTGTGTAATATATACGAATGATTTTTAATTGGTATCTTTTATGCATAAAATTTACTCGTAAATATTACACGCGAAAAGAACCAAATAAAATCAATAAAAAAGTAAATTTTTTTCTTTTGCGAAAAAAAAAACCCTCTTTATTAATATTTTTCGAAATAATTCTCGAAATAATAAAATTAATCCATTCTTTCGTATTACAACATTCTTTATTTCAAACAAGTTAAACATTATACACGCGCACACGTACATTGATCACTTTATATTACATGAATATGATATAATAATAAAAACAACAATAAATAATATTGACCACGAATAATCATAATACCAATAAAATACTCTTTAACAACATCAATAAGTATTATTTACCCCCATTTGTTTGATAATTATTTACTTCCACCACATTCATCACTAAAAAACATTTACGACACATCCATCACCTATTCAATTTATTCATTCAATCATTACTTTCATCAACAATTTTTACCATATTATTCGTATCTTTTAATTTTAATTTTTAAAAATAAAAAAAATAAAAAACGAGATTTTTATTAAAAAAGAAAATTTATTTTCTTTGCTCAAAAAAATAAAAATAAAGCAAGAAACGAAAAGGAAACGGGGGCTGGAACCCGAAATAAAATCAAATTAACATTTTCATAATAAAATAAGTCAAACTGGAATCTATATTAAAGGAAAACTTTCCCTACTTTTCTCACTTTATCATCATTGTTCTGCCACCGTTACTGCTGCTATATCAAATACCATTATTCAAACACATATTTTTATTATTATTACATTCAATAACACCCAAACGTTTAGTCATTAAACTGTCCCAGATGAGCGATTCCTCTTCTGGAAATTCCACAGTACAAGTTGGTAAGTAGCATATATTTATTATATGATGTACGTTACTATTATTATTATTTTTTTTTTTCTTAATAATTTTATTTCTCAGCTCTGCGAATAAGGCCTTTAACAGGAGAAGAATTAATCACAATACCCACAAAATCTCAAAGAAAAGTATTATCGACACCACCTTTCAAACCAAACCAAGTCATAATACAAGGCGAAAAGAAACAATTCTTCACGTTTGATCATGTCTTCAATGATAATTCATCACAAAAAGATGTCTACGATCATTCAGTTAGGAGTAAGATGGATAGTTTTTTAGAAGGCTACAATGTAACTATATTAACATTCGGTCAATCTTCATCCGGAAAAACTTATACAATGGGTTTAAGTGATGTCGATAAACACAAAAATACCAATACAATTAATAATAATATAAGCAATAGCAATAATATAAACGATTCAAATGGTTTAATACCAAGGTCTTTAATAAATTTATTTTCCTTCATAAACTCTGCTCAATACAAAAATCGTAAATTTTCCATAAAAATATCTTTTGTCGAGATTTTCGATGAAGAAATAATTGATTTACTTAATGATGAGAAAATAATTAAAGAAGAATCGAATGAAGACATATCATCAGATAATGGTGGTAACAACAATAAAGATGATCATGGTGCAAATAACGAACGTTCAAAATTCGAGAAAAATAAAATTAAAGAAATTAAAGTTGATAATGTTGGAGAAATAATGAGGTAGGTTTTTTATTATAACTTTGTTAATTTTTACTCTAATTTATTTAATCTTTACTAATATCTCATCATCATCATCATCAATAATTTAGTTTATTATCGAATGGAAGACTGAATAGTAAAATGAATCAAAAAGATATACTTATTCATCCATCAAGATCACATACTGTATTCTCCATCACGTTAACTCAACAAAAATTAATTCCTAAATCTTCTTCCTCCTCATTCTCATCATTATCGTCAAACATTTCAGAAACTTTCAAAATTTTCAAATCAAAATCAAGAGAAGATTTAAAATCATTAAATCATAAAAATTCTTTTGAAGGCGATTGGGTTTCTGTCACAAGTAAATTTCAATTTGTTGATTTAGCAACAAATCATTTAGTAAGTCTATTGACATTTCAGATTTCTTATTTAGAAAAATACAATATAATTTTTGTAATATATTCACAAATTAATTATTAATATCATTATTTATTATTACAGGTAAGAAAAAGCGAAATAATTCCTTCTTCCAATGACATTATCTCGCTAAATCACTTGATTCGCTCAATTAGTGGATCTACAAATCAAGAAAATAACAATATACACGATTCTGACGATTTGTATTATGATAAAAATTTATCTTTCAAATTAAAAGAACATCTTTGTGAAAATTCAGAAATTTTAGTAATAGCCTGTGTGCCTCCCTCTGAATACTACATCAACGAAACGATAAAGGTATTAGATTGTGTTAATCAAGTCAGAAATATCAAATATAAAGCTGTAATAAGTCAGGAGCCTGGTTGGTACGATATAGAATATTTACAAAGTCTCGTTATAAAACTTAGAGACGAAATTAAAAATTTAAGAGTATCTGCTGCTAATAATTTACCAATAAGAAGAAGATCTTCATTTGATAATTATAATAATTCATCATCATCATCACCAACAACATCATCACCTGCTACCATCAACAACAATAATCATTCAATTTTCGGTTCTAAATTAAAAAAATTGATTTCTAATAAATATGACAATCATAATCATGAAGACGATGATGATGATCCAAATTTTAAAATAAAAAATTCAATATCATCAAGAACGATTATTGAAGAAGAAGAGGGTGATAACATGATTGAAAATTTAGAAGTAGAGTTTCAACATCTTCATAAAATTTATACTGAAATGTCTCAAGTTTTATTAGGTGATATAAGCAACAATGAATCACTATCAAAATATCTAGCTTTGCTCAATGCTAATGATCAAAAAGAATTCATAGAAAATCTTTGGCCTAGTTTTGAAAAAACGGTCAAACCAATTATACAAGATTATGAAAAATCTATTTGTTCTCTCGAACAACAATTGAACAATGCCCGTGAGACCTTAACCAACTCTGAATCAACAATACAAGTTCGAGAATTAAAATTACACGAGACTGAAAAAGCAAATGAAAAAAATAAAATTTTAATAAATGAGATTAAATCAAAATTGACAAAATTAATTGAGCATGAAGAAACCACGGAATCATACATAAAAAATCTTGAAATTAGGCTCAACATAGAATCTTCTCAACAAATTAAAGATTTGAACGTGATTGAGGAACTTCGGGTGAAACTTGATGACTTTGAAAATTCTGAAGAAAATAACGAAATTTTGATCAATCAATTAGAATCAAAATTGGAATCAACTCAAAACTCTGCTCGTGAAATATTGGATAAATCCTTGACTTTGGAAAAATCTTTACAAGAAAAAGATAATGAATTTAATATATTACAAGAGAGGATCGAGAAACAAATGAATATTGATACAGAAGAGAAGCAATGGTTATTGGATGAGATTACCGAACGTGATCAAAGAATTTTACTATTGGAAAGAAATGTTGATGAACTTGCTCAAGAAATACAAAGCTTCAAGCAATTAAAAAAATCAAATAATAATAATAATAATAATAATAATAATAAAGTCACTCATAATAAATTATTACCACCACTTATAAATACATCGAATTTATCAAATATTAGGCCTATTATAAATTTAAATGGTAAAGAGGTTTATGATATAGATGATGACAGTTATAATAACGAGTTTTTACCATCAGTTACAACCTTAGAATCGAGATTAAATGAGCTACAAATAACTCATGACAAAACTATTGCCGAGCTTAAAGAAATTAAACCTAGATATGAGCAATGTTTAAAAGAATTAAAAGATTTACAAAAGCAACTTAATGAATCAAAATTAAACAATTCACTATCAAAACATAATCGCAACAATAGCATCATCAGCAACAACAACAACAACAACAACAATAATAACAACAAATATCTTCGTGCACCATCATCGTCCACTAATACTGCAATGGCATCTGATTCAATTTTTCAAGGTTATCCAAAAACCAGATCTTTATCAGTAGAAATTCAAGGTGCTGAAAAACAAGAGTTAACAAGCTCTCTGGTTATTCAAAAGTTACAAATTGAATTAAGACAATTGGAAACATTACATCAAGATAAAGCTCAAGGCTTAGAAAAAGTTAAACAAGAATTTGCTAGATTGGAAATCAATTATAGAGAAACTTTGGAAATTGTTGAAGAATTACGTGAAGAGATTAAACGTCGTGATGCATTGGCTCAATTGGAAGTTATGTCTGTGATAGCATCGTCTGATTATGCTTATACTGATGGTGGTTATTCTCCTACAAGTAGTGAGGCCAATCAACAAGATATTGTGCAAAGGCTCAGAGAAGAAGTTGATATGCTTAAAGAAGATCAACTAAGAACTATCGAATTGTTGGAAGGTCATGAAATTGATTACTACAAATCATTTGATCATGAAAGATTAAAAACTTTAATAGATCAATTAAAATTGGAATTAAATCAAAAAAAGAAAAATCAAGATCAATCATCATCGTCATCGTCATCGTCATCATCTTCTTCTAAAATTAAAGAATTACAAAATAAAATAAAATTTTTAGAAGAACAATTATTATTAAAATCTCATGATTCATCATCATCGCCACCATCATCATTGTCAAATATTAACAATGATATTGTTGTTGAATCAAAACAAGATGAGGATGACGATATTCAGCAAGTCAAACAACCTGAGAATTTATCATCGCCACCATTACCACCATCACCATCACCATCACAAAAATCAGTAGAAACCAATCAAAATCCAAAAGCCAATGACTCACGCTTAAGATCATTACAAATTGTTGTAGAATCAGAACGAAGAAAACAACAAGAGAAACGAAGTTCTCTTTCAAAATTAAAGGAATCCGGCGAGAATGAAGTGACAAAACAATTGAAAGATTATATTGAAAAACTTCAGCAAGAGATTGAAACTAAAAGTCATACAATAGCTGCTTTGATATTGCCATCAATTGACCAACAACAACAGCAATATAATAATATTATTACTAATAATGATAACTTACAAAGGCTTGAAAGTGAACTTGAAGAAATTAGATCAACTCAAAAATCTATTGTTGAATCTAAATATGCTCGTAACAAATCAAATCTTTTAAAAGAAAATTCTTTATTATATAAAGCTGGAATTAATAGTCATCATCAATATAACAACAACAACAACAATAGTGGTAATAGCGATAATAATAATAGCTCATTAGTACCAACTATTTTTGAAGAAATTTCTGAAGAGGAAGCAGAACAACGACGATATTCAGAAAAACGCGATTCAGCATCTACAACTGCCACTTTAACCAATGATGAAGATGAAGAGTATTTAAGATCTTTACAAGGAAAAGCCATATATCTCGAAAATCAAATAACTAGAGCTAAAGGACTTCAACCAAACAATAAAAGTGATGATGATGATAATAATAATACCAATTATTTCTTTAATTTATCACACAAATCTATTGAAAACCTACAAGGAAAATTATTGGAATTACAACAAGATTTAAATTTAAAATCAAATTTAATAGATGATTTACAAATAGAAAATGATGCAATAGATGAGATTAGAGAACAACTTGAAATTGTCAAATTAGATGTTCAACAAAAATATGATTTAATAGAAATTTTGAAAAAAGATTTACTAAATAAAACTTGGTTAGAACAAAAGCTCAAGCAAAAAGAGATTCAAGCTTTATTATTCAAAAACAAGTTGATCCAAGTTCATAAAGAAGAAGAAGACTTGAAGAATGAAATTAGAAAGTTACAAATGAAATTACAACAATTAGAAAATGGCGATGATGTGGATCAATTGTTAAAGCAAGAACTGGAAAGTTTAAAAGCTGAGCTGAAACAAGCAAGCGAGAGAGAATCTTTAGCACAAGAAAAATTACGAAAATTAAAGACCAACTCGTTGATCTCCAATCAAGATCAAATACAACTTGAATTACAACTAGGAAACTTACGTAATAACGAGATCATACAAAGAGAACGTATTAATGTTTTAGAATCCAAGATTTTAGAAAAAGGTGTACAATTAGACGAATACTTGTTACAATTGAAGAATGATTTAACAATCACAAAAGAATCCAAAATAAATTATATTCAAACCATAGAAAATTTAGAAATAGAATTAAATAAAGTTGAAAATTTGACTCAATTTGAGAAACTCGCATCAGAATTACAAGACTTAAAAGTTAGAGAAACAAAACAATTAGAAATAATAAAAAATTTAGAGAGTTATCTAAACAACCAAATGAAGATATCCAATGATTTTGATCAATTCCAAAAATTATTTGAAGAAATCAAAGATTTGCTGTATAAAAATAATGCCAATGATGACAATTCATGGGATCAAGAAGTACATCAACAACGAATAGAAGAATTTTTGGATCACATAAGACAACAGAAACAGCAACAGCAACAGCAACAACAAAATATTCCTAATCCAAATTCTGATAATGTTTTTTCATTACAGAAACAAGTTATGGAATTAAAGAATTCTGAATCAAGTCTAAAAAAAATCATTCAAGATTTGGAATTCAAGATTACAACAACGCAAGAAGAAATACAATTATATAGTTCAATGAAAGAAGAAGTTGATATGTTGAAGAATCTTGAGATTCAACAAAAATCTCAAATAGAAGAATTAAAATTGCAACTTGATATAATCAAAGCTTCAAAAAATGCAGTCAACAAAGAATTAGAAAGATTAAAACAAGAATTTAATCAACAATCAAATATAATGGAGTCTTTAGAGACTGATTTAAAATTTTTAAAAATAGAACTGGAAAAAACTAAAGAAAGTGCTAATGAAAAAACTTTGGAGTTAGAAGAAGTTTCTAATTTGTTGTCTGATGTTCAGAAATCCTATGAAGATGAAAGAAAGAAAGCAAATACATTGGGAATTGAATTTGAAATATTAAAACTTAGTGGCAACAGTAGTAGTAGTGGTGTTAGTAACGATGCTAGAATAACGAATTTGACGGATGCCTTAACTAAAGTTAAACTCGAAAGAATGGAACAAGATGATCTTTTGTCTGAATTAGAAAAACAATTAATGACTGTTGAAAAAGATAGAGATGCTCAAATGCAAATCTCAAACGAGCTAAAAGAAGTAATCGAAGAACAAGAGGCTAACCACCAAGAAATTGTTTTGGAACTTGAAACAAAATTACACAATTTAGAAGAAGAATTGGTAAAATCACAAGATTCAACAATCATTAGCAGAGAAATCATAACAAGTTTGGAAGAAAAATCGCTTAGGATACAATCTTTGTTGGAAGAAACAAAAAATTCTGATAAGAAAAATTCTATTTTAATTAAAGACCTAGAATTCAAGTTGCACAAAGCCAATAATATCCTAAAAGAGAAAGAGAATCAATTGTCAAGTCAAGATATACACATTTATGAGTTGGAAGCATTAATACAAAAAACTCAACTAGAAATTGGGCATGCAAAAAGATCAGAATTGGAAGCTAGTAAGAATGTTAAGGTGTTAAATGCTAAAATCACAGAGGTCAACCAATTATTATTACAAAATGATCCTTCGATAACAGATCTTGAAAACGCCAGAAAATTAGCATCAGAACAATCCAAGCTAGTAAAACAATTAGAGGCTAGACTTAGTTTGACAGCTAATCATGAAGAGGGTGATAGGATAGATGAGATTGTTTCAGGAATGAGGTTAGAGTTGGAAGAAGCACGAAATTCCGAAATCACAAAATCTAAATTGATTAAAGAATTAGAAGGCACATTGGAATGCAAGAATTATAATATTAAAGAGTTAGAAATGGCAATTAATAATTCAAAAATGGAGCTTGAAAAGGTTAAAGGGTTGGAATCAAAACATTTGAATTTGATCAAAAAGTTAGAGTTCAAACTTCAAGAAATTGAATTGAAACGTAATGATGAACTTACTAACTTGCACGTAGCTAATAAAGAAATTGATTCGTTAAAGAATTATTGCAAGGAATTACAAAAACAAATCGAAGAACCTCAAAATAATTCTGTAAATAAAAATGTTGGAAGTCAAGAAATTACTGGGGATTTAAATCATCAACTTAAACGAGCAAATGGACAAATTAAAACATATTTAAAACAAATATCCGAGTTACAAAAAATTATTCAAGAACTTAAATTAGAAAAATATGTAAAGATCGAAGAAAATTCTGAATTAATAGATGAAGTAAATAAACTTCAACAAGATTTAGATTTATTATCTAAAAAATTTTCTATTTCATCTTCCAAATTCGAAAGCTTTGATGAATTAGCAAGAAGACAACAACTTAGAATAGAAGAATTGGAAATAAAACTGAAAAAAGCTGAAAAATTGAACCAAGCTATATCAATCCGTAACAACAACAGTAGCAGCAGCAGCAGCAGCAACAACAATAAAAGGGCTATTGAACCGCAAATTAGAGGATTATCTAATCCAGAATTTGTTAAGCTTACTGCTACATATGAAAGTTTAAGGACTATAAATAATAATCTTAATTCAAAGGTCACGGATTTAAATGCACATGCCAGTAAATTAATTGAGAAAAATAAAACTTTACAAAATGAATTAACCAGCTTTATCAATATGAGCGATAAACCAACATTCAATGAAATGAAAGAAAAAATCAAAGAATTAGAATTGGTAAAAGAAGAATTAGAGGAAATAAACAAAAAATTCTTCCAAGAATGTGTAACACTCGATCAGAAGATTCAAACTTTAATGGAACAATCATGGTCAGTAAACCATAATGAAAATTCACATATAGGCACACATTTGTCTGAATTAAATGATCAAATAACCATTAAAGAAAACGATCTTTTAAGTTTAAAACTTAAAACATCGAAGGAGTTCATTCAAATGGAAAGTGAAGTTGCTAGACTTCTTAACGATAATGAAAATTTTAAACAACAATTAAAAGAATGGAGCTTAATAAATTCTAAAAAATCAAATTCAAATGATAACTTGTCTGGTCAATATTCTAAAGTGATACAACAAGAATCCACGATATCACAACAATCAGTCACGATTAAATCTTTACAAAAAACTATTTCTGATTTGGAAAGGCAATTATATGAGGTCACATCAGGAACAAATGTACTTACGCCATTAGATATGAAGAAAATTTTACAACAGCATGGCTTACCAGAACACGTCCCACCACCAACACCACCACCAAGCCAACCATTGCCACCGATTCCATCATCATCTACTTCTCAAAATCCAACATATTCACCGAAACTAAATTTACGTAGACCTTCACTACAAAAAATAGATTCATATTTCCAATCGAGGCATCAAAATTCTTACGAGTTTAGTCCAGGAACAGCAGAATCCCTGTTAGAAATACAAAAATTACATAAAAAGATAATAAAAATCGAAGCAGAAAGTCTACAAAACAAACAATTAGTTGAAACCTTGGAGAGTTCATTGAACGATAATGAGACAAGTCTTGAAACAACAAAACAAGAATTATCTGCAGTACAAACTCAAAAGAATGAACTTATGAACCAAATCAAAGTTCTAAATGCTCAATTAACTCAGGCAATTGAAGAAGTAGATAAAACCAAAATGAATGTTAAAACTGAAAAATTATTTATGGAAAAGAATTTGGAAGAAGAAAGACAAGCAAAAGAACGTTCAGAGGCTGCTAGAATAGCATTGGAACGTCAATTAGAAAGATTACTGGCCAAGAAACATAAATTTATGTGTTTCTAAAAACATTTTGAGCAAGCTGATTTTGTTGAATTCATTAATTTATTTAATTTATTTAATTTATTTATTTAATTTATTTACTAAAAAGTAATAAAAAAGTATATATAGAGATAGCATATTGTAATTAATTTTTAACGGGAGAATAGTATTTATTTATATTTATTTATTATTAGATTTGTTTATTTATTATAATTTTGTATTTATATTTTAACTTTATAACAATAATAATAATTTAATCAAAAAATGTGTAATTTTATTATTTTTTTTTTTTTTCAATAATTAAATAATTCTCTATTTTTTAAAATCAATAAAACAAAAAATTAAATTGTTATTATTATTACAGATTTATACGTGTAGTAGATTGGACGAAGGAAAGAGAATTAATAGAGATGAATGGATGTTGATCCAAATTGTAATTCATTTGTTATCAACATGCACATCGTAATATTCTAATCTGTTATTAAAGAATTTTTCTAAACTATTCGCAAATTTAACATAAATGGTTCCTTCAGAATTATAAATTCGACAATTCTTAAAAATAGTTCTAACGTCATTAATATATTCTTCAATAGATTTATAAATTTTACTCTCGACTTTAGATTCAATTGTTGATAGGTCCATTGGATTTTTAATGATTGTATAATAATCATGGACTTCTTCAGGTTTAACTGGGTCACGAAAAGGCCATGATTTTGCATGCTTTTTAAGTTCGGATGTTATAATTGCCATGATATCACGGATCGTTTTCTTATTACCACGAGCTTTAGCTTCCATTTCTGGTGTCCAACCGGATTCTCTAATACCTGGTATTTCCATGGGATCTATCGAGCTTTTATTGTTATTTTTGAAAATTGCGAGACCAGGATATTCTGGTACATTTTTACGATGCTCAAATATTAATTTTTGAATTGTTGATTTTTGCTTAGACAAAATTTCATCAATTTGATGATATTGAACTTTTAACAATAGCTCAAGTTGCATCATCGTTGCCTCATCATAGTCTTTTATGTAACCAACCCAAAGTTTTTTTTTGATAGTAATATCGGTGGTAAAACCATTTTTTTTAAAAAAACCCATTGCGTGATTATCAGCATAAGTCATCAAGTATCTAATACCACAATTGTCTTTTAAATGATCTTTTAAATTATTCATCATAAATGAACCATGACCTTTTGCTTGTTCGGTTGAACTCACTGCACAAAAAACAATTTCAGCTAAATTGTTATCACTGAAAAGTCGATACGTGATTCCACCAACAACATGTGAGCCTCTCTTAACTATTATTAATGAAGAATGGTTTTTATCAAGAACAAGACGTGTAATATACTCGGCCGGCATGTTTGGAAGTTGAGTTTTGATTAAATTTTTGAGTGAATTCAACAGTATTAAACTATCTTTTTTACCATCATTGTTTATAAATTTTATTTTTATATCAGTTGATCCATTTTTTTCTTCTACCATTTTTTTTTTCGTCCTAAAGTTTAAGTTTGATATGAAAAAATTGAATTTCTATTTATTTCTATCCCATTTTTGGAAATTCGTGTGTCACTTTTTTTAATGAAGGCATTTATTTATAAAATGAACAAACTCCAATTCAAATTCATTAATCAATATCTTCAACGTGCACAAGAATTACAAAAAGCGAATCGATAATCGCTTATTATTATTATTATTATTGTAAGAAAGCTATATACATTGCCAAACAAACAAAAAACCAATACTTATAAAAAGTTTTGTATATTTAGCAATTGAAAAAGGAGAAAGTCAAGTTTTTCTTACAAAATTAATGGATGCTCTTGAGAAAATATTAATTGCAGAAAATTTCTCGATTTTTTATTGCTACATATAAATATTTATTGGGTTTGGTCATCATCATACGCTTTTATTACCTATCCATCCATCATCCATCTACCTATTTATTCATAGGAAAAGAAACAACTTGCAGATAATGAAGCAGTTACAAATAATATTGTTGGTAAAGCATTCGTAGAAAACTTTACCTTAAAATTTTCCTAAATGCTGATAAAACTGATAGGGTTACAATGTAAGTATGTTATAATTATACGGCTATGATGAGTTTTTTATAAACTCGTTAATTTTTATTTATACACATTTAACCTATAGGCAAACAACCATGACTTTTTAGGCGTCATCTACATTCTTGGAGTTGCTAAAAATATTTGGTGAGATAAATCCTGAGGTGTGTGTGTGTGTGTATATCTATACAATTCCATTCATAATTAAAAATGTTAATCACATATTATATATATATATATATATATATTTAAAGATTGGAAATAAAATTAAGTATGCAATGTGGAAGGCTGCACATATTATTAAGATGGTCAAAAATCAATTGCTGGTCTAACATTACAAGAATCAACTTATGATGATAATTTAATGTTAATATGGATGATGATAATAATATTATTAATGCAGACAACAAGTATCTTATAATAATAACGATGATGTTATCATTGATAATAAAGGTGATGAATTTGCTCCTAGTATTAATCTATTTCCTTCAGCACCATTATCAAAATTTTCAACAACTGGCCCTCCTTTACCGCCCAAAGTAAATAAGACATTGGTAATATTAATAGTAATATTAATAGTAATGTGATGGTGATGATAATAATATAATAAAAGCATTTCCATCTAATATTCCATTTGATAAGTTTACTAGTCAACAACCAATTTTATTATCCGATTTTTCTGATCAAACCTGATCCTAATGTATATGCATTTTATGAACAAAATCCACAATATCAATAACAACAAAATCCACAATATCAATAACAACCACAATTTAATGTGAACGATCGAACTAATGACTTGTTCCGCCAACAACCTGTCTCCAATTTTTCTCATGTTCCACGACAAACATCACAATCATTCAAGCAATTCAACCTTTTAATTATGTTCAATCAATAATACCAGTATCAACAATACCATCCCTAGCACAGCTGCAACGATCACAATTACCATAACTCTCACAATAAAAAGGTGCCCCAATTACAACTTCAACACCAACCCCAAATTTAAAATCAAATAATTATTGTGAAATAGATCCGAATACAGTTTCAACTGCTCAAAAACATTTTAAATTGTCGATTGGCTCTTTAAAGTATAATAATGTCAAGACTGCTATAGAAAATTAATTTAGATAAAGCCAAAGCATTACTGGAAATTTATAATAAATAAATAAATAAGGGTTTGTAATAGACTTGTTGTTATTATAAACATTTAAACATTTATTTAATTATAGGTTTTAAGATAATCAACATGTATTTATTTATTTTCTATGTAGCAAAAAAATATACATTAAAGAAATTTGTCAAATAAATATTTATTTCTTCAATTAATTAATATACTGATATAATATTTCTCAAGGATGAATAGATTAATTAATTAATTATTATTTAAACAACACGATAATAAATACAAGAAAGGAAAAAATCACTAAGCATTAATTATATAATTATTATTGTTATTATCATTATTGTTATTGTTACTACTACTATTATCATCACCACCACTACTATTATTATTACTATAAAAATTTTGATATGATTCAATCTCTTGATAAAATGATTCCCATAATTTGATTATCTATCAATAACAAATAAAAGTAAATAATAAAATTGTGAAAAATTATTTGCAAACATTCCATTAAAGTTCAATAATTTAATTTACCTCATTTTTGGTTTTTATGATAGAATCTAAAAATGATTCAATGCTGTTTTTAAAATCTTCAACCCTTTCTTTATCAAACCTGTCCAATTCTGCTTTAATCAATTTTGTAACATCTTCAAATTCATGTCTACAATCTTCAACTTTATTTTCACCCTCTGCAATCACGGCCAACATGTATGAAAGTCTTTCTTGGCTTAATCCATTTCGTGATTTTAATCTTTCATAGTTTGATTTTTTCTTTTGTAAATCATTTGTAGTATTTTGCCAATTTTGATAAACCTTAGTTCTCGAATTTAAAGCCACCTAGTTTCAAGAAAAGTTTTTTTTTAAAATATAAAAATTTATTATCTATATATATATTAATTAACAAAAATAAATTTTATCAATCCTATTAATATTATTATTAACTTTAATTGATCCAATAATACGAATATATTCTTCAATAGTATTTTCCAATGTTACAACATCTTGACGTGCCTAAAAATAATGGTTACAAATAAACGGCAAAGGATTTTATAAATATATTTATATTATGTGTATAATTTAAATAAAAATTAATTTACCTGTTTTATGTGTAATTCTCTAATTTTTTGTTGCAATTTTCCTAATGTTGATAAATTATCTGCTAATGGTTTATTAACCTCAATATCAGATAATGCAGTCAAACTATCACCAAATTCAATTGTTGAACCTCCGAGATCTATCAAAAACATGTGTCAACATCAGTTAATTAATATTTGTTTAATAAAAATAAAAATAAATAATAATAATAATAATAATAATAGTAAATAATTGTTGATAAATAAAACACCTTTCTGTTGTCTAACAACTAATTCGACAGATTTAAGCAATGTTTTCAATTGTGATTCAAGTATATCTAATTGGTTTTTACGACCTTCAAACCACTATATTAAAAATTTTTATATGTAATTGGTCTGTTTTTCTTCATACAAGTAAGTGTAAAATTAATATGATAAAATATTATGAAGTCAGTTCACTCACATCATCCATCTCAGTAAATTTATTGAAAGTAGTAGCATTAGAAACAGCTTCGCCTAGTGATTGTAAAACACTCTTAGATTGTACTCTGCTTCTTACCTAAATAAAAACACATACGTATATTTATACAAGTTAATTTCATTGTGATTAAAAAAATCACTATAATGATTTCTTAAATAATGTACATCGATGTTAAAATTATCAGACTCTAAGAATATCTTCAAATCTCGATCTTTGTATAATTTTGGATGTGAAATAATTTTTTTCAAACATTTTTCAAGTGCCTGACGACGATTTTCTATAAATTCATCCTGAAAACGTCCTAGTCCAAAAATATATAAATTAATTTATAAAATTATTAATTTAACTAACAACTTATTCGGTATTTTACCTATAACATGCTTTTCTGGAAGTGGTGGAACAATTACGCCTGGATTTCTAAGCGTAAGCTGACCATATAACCATAAAAAATCACGGTATCTCCTCAATACTGTAAAATCGTTGTTTTTAAAATCTTTTGATGTTGTCTAAAAATAAAGTAAAACATTAATTATTATTTATAAAATTGAGATATATTTAATTTTGGAATCAAACATGCCTTAGTTCTAACTTTATATACAGTGTGAGCATTAATTGGATCACCAATCTTTTGAGGATCTTCCACTGAAATCTCAAATATTGGAGGATTCAACCCATTTTCTGAGCCATCAAGTTGATTAGACTATAAAAAAATAAGTAAAATATTATGTTAAAATAAAAAACAATAATATCAACAAAATTAACAAAATTAAAAATTATGTAATTCATTACATGATTAGAATTAATTTCGTTATTGTCATTTTGTTCTTGAATACTACCATTACTACTATTACTACCATTGTTGATAATAATATTATCATTATACAATTCTTCATAACTGTTAGTCCTTTCATTGGTTTGACTCTCATTAGAAACTGAAGATATAACATCAAGATCCTTAGTTGATGAAACGTCCACGTCTTCGAATTCTCTTTCGTCATCATTAGCAGCAAAATAATTATATTTGTCTTCATAATTATTAATATCTTTCTCTTCAGATAGTTTGATTTCAGAAATGTCTGAACTCAAAATACTTTCTAAAGGATTTGTAATATTATTTACAAAGCCATCGTTGATGGAACCACTATATTCGCTCATGAAGTCAGTTTCTTCATTTATTTTTTCCGGTGCAATTAATGGTGAGATTGCATCATGAAAAGGATTAGAGACGTCAACATCATTCAAAGTATCAGATATGGTATTGATTGTAGGTTTATGAAGCAAATCTTCAAAATTATTTTCAAATTCATCAGACATTTTTAAATTTTCAAATTTTTTCAATCCTTTCGAGTATTTTAATTTTTAATTTTCCTAAAAAGGTAACTGTAAACAAACATCATCGTGGTTATTATTATATTCGAGATGCCATTTAAAATATTATTTCTGCACAAAATTCAGCTTATATTTTTTTGCAATTCTGTTCAAATTCTGCCAACGAAAAATCATTTTTATTTAAAAAAACAAATATTATTTAAAAAATAACATATAAAATATAAAAAATAAAATTATTAATTAATTCAATTAAAATCTCTTAGAGAAGATTTTGTCTATTACTATCTAAAATATTGTTATAGAAAGAGAGGCCTTTTTCTACACTGCAGCTAGATTCGGGAAGCCAAGGTTTTTATTTCTGGACCAGAATTTTAACCTAAAGATTAATTAATCGGTAACCATATTGACATAATGCATTAGTATTGGTGGGACAGGTTCGCGTCGATGAAGCGGATCTTTTCAGAACAAGTGATGGCAGTAATCCTAATCTTGGATTCTCAGCTTTGGAGGTTTTTCGAATTGGAATTTGAATTAGATATTGTCACTAGAGATAGATCACACCTCCTTTAGATTTTGTTAGTTATGACGATGACGTTAATTCTTCTGGCCTTTTAAAGACTAACCACAATCCTAAATTTGTCATTTGTTGTTTACCCTCGTAACACAAATGCTCTTTTGACCCAAATATTTGGTGTGAGTAGTTATCCATTTTTCTTTTTGAAGTAAGAATAATTGTGCAGCTCATTGTTTGTTGACGATCACCTGTTTGTTATTTGCCGCAATATTTTTATTATTTTTAATGACGACACGCAATATGTCACATGTATATAAAATATCACACTAGAAATAAAAATTTGTAATGGCGGGTCGGTAGCATTGAGTAATAATATGGTTGGTAACGATGCTGGATTTTGAATTTTTTTATATTTGAATTTTTTATTATTATTATTGCTGTTGTTGACGTCTCCCATTTTATTAATTGTTAACTAAATCATTTTATTGGTAACTGATTCATTTATTGTAAATCCTTACCAAAGTAATTTTGAATAATGATGATGGTTTTAGAAAAGTGCAATCTAAAACTCAAGACCCGGTTTTCGCCAATATTTGCTCCATAAATCTCGCGAGCATTCTTAACGCAAGATGGACATTTGCACCAAGAAATACTCTAGTAAAACGTTTGGATTGTTGTGGATGCATCAAACAAAATCTTGGACCTTCGAATACCTTTAGATGTTAATAAAAATGTAAAACCAAGTCCATGATATTCAAAGTATATTACGGGAATACAAACAAGAGTCGCTCGCGACATTGGAGCTTACACCCGAGAGACATGTAGGCTATCCACGTAAAACTTGTATTTAGGTTCAATGTTAAGAGGTTAGGATTTAAAGGATTAGTGTAATAAAAAATTCGTGATACAAAATAACCAAGTGTTTTTTTAAAAATCACACCCCACTTGCTTTCAAAATATATTAATATACATATATATCATTTATTTATTTTTACTAAATTTTATTTTCATTATAATTTTGATAATTTTTTTTTTTTAAAACAAAAAAATGTCTGAAAGTAATATACGAAAATCTAATAATCCAGAACAAACCGAGCAAGTACTAAACAACAGTAATAACAGCAACACAACAACCATTAACAACGGCAGCAACAGCAATAACAACAGCAACAACAACAACAATAACAACAATAATAGCAACAATAGTAATAATAACACAGTAAGAAGGAAAAAGGCTACAAGAGCTTGTTTTTATTGTCAAAAAGCCCATTTAACCTGTGATGATTGTAAGTTTCAAAAAGAAAAGAAAATCGATCTGTTTAAATAATATATTTAATTATTGTACAATTGTTAATATTATTATATCTCTATCATTCATAAATCTTTCCTCTAATAATTTAGCAAGACCATGTCAACGATGTATAAAAAGAGATCTAGCTGCAACTTGTACCGATGGTATTCGTAAGAAGGCAAAATATTTACAAGATTCAAGTTATAATGGTGTGCATATCAAATAATTTTTCAATAAATTTTTTTTCTCTTTTTAAAAAAAAAGATAACAAAAAATCATTTGTGAAAAAATTTATTATCATCATTATTTTTTATCCTACCAACTGTTATTCAATCTTACTAACCAATAGCATATGAACTCGATCATCAATTTTATTGCAATAATGAACCTCATTCTATAAATCAACAAAAACAACAACATTATCATAATGATAATAATAATTTTCAACCTCCATTAACTCCAACCTCAACTCAACCACCAACTCCTTTACAACATCCACGTCCTAATCCTTCATTAAATCATAATGAACATTATCATCCACTTTCACCACTGATTGATAATCGCTCTTTTCCATCTCATTCAGTATGTATTTTGAAGTATAGAAAATCAAATTTTTGATTTAAAAATTATATATATTAGTTATAATAACCATATATATATGTTTTATTTTTTTAAAAAGTCCAATATTGATGATGAATTTCATAAATTTTCTCCAATTTTTTCTCCTCCAATACAAAATCAAAAACATTTAAATCAACAAATTCAACAAAATCAACAAATATTGGTTTCATCCTATTTAGTTACAACACAACCTAGTCAACAACCCAGTCAACAACCTGTTTTCATGCATAATGGATTTAATACAAATCCTGCTGCTTCTATTACTAGTGAGTTGCAATTTATATTTATTTATATTTATGTATTTTTTATTAAAAAAAAATATAATACAATCATAAATAGATAATATTGTTGATACAAGTACATTATTTGGGAGTGGAAGTTATCCTATTCAAACAGCTAATTATGGCTTTGGTTCAGAAACAATAAATCTAGAATATTCTGTTTTGGGCAATATGTTATCTGCATCAACAACTACTGAAGCATTAAGTCCTCACACAGCATTTGCTGATATTAGTATGATTGATCATACATGGAATCAATCACCAAATGCTACAATTATAGCTTCTTCATCACCTTCAACCACAATTACTAATTCAACTCCTTCAATAATATCCCCATCACACAATATAACTTCAAACATCATTAATGGTTTTAATAATAATAATAATAGCAACAACAGCAACAATAATAGCAATGGTAATAATTACCATCATAATGATATTAATTCTTCATCAGGCTTTAAAAAAGACAATTTAGGGAAAAAAATTTCAAATTCATTAACTCTTGAGAATGTTTATGCAAATGTTGACAAACCATTTTCTTATACAGAAGGGTTTCATTATTTAGTAAAGTGGATTAGAGAAAGGTAATCTCTTTTTTTTTGAAAAAAATAGACATTATATTAATAATGAAAAAAAAAAATTCCCTACTTCTTAATTAGGATGGATAAAGAACATATCGACCGAATTGTTAAAGCTTTAGCAACTTTTCGTCCATCTTTCATAGCCTTAATAATGAATTTAACAGAAGATGATTTAATTTTCATGGAAAAATGTTTTCAAAGAACAATACTGGTATATACATATTAATTTATTTATGCATTTAGTTATTCTGATACAGTTCTAAAATTAATTATAAATTAATAATTTATTTTTTCTGAATCTAGGAATTTGAAAAGTTGATTGGATTTTCAGGTACACCAACTGTTGTATGGCGCAGAACTGGCGAAATTGCACTAGTTGGAAAAGAATTTACTCTATTGACAAAATGGACAAAAGAACAATTACTTGGTAAAAAAACTTACATATATGAGGTATATTCATATATATATATATATATATATATATATATATTATTATTATCAAATAATCGTTAAAATAAATAATAAATAAATATATTTATGTATATATAAAACAGGTTATGGATAGTAAATCAGCAGTAGAATATTGGGAAAAGTTTGCAGAACATGCTTTTGATAATTCAAGGCAGTCAGACATGATGACTTGTATATTAGTTGGGGCAAATGGTATACAAGTACAATGTACATTTTGTTTTACAATTAAAAGAGATATTTTTGATATTCCTTTGGCAATTGTTGGAAATGTAAGTAATATTCTAAAATTTAATATTTTATGTAATAAAAATAAATATTGATAATTAACATCCTATTTTATTTAGTTTCTGCCTATTTTAAGTTAACCTGAAGACGACCAGAATAATATATAATTATTATAGTAAAGATTTTATGTAAAAAGTTAATTTTTAAAAAAATGGATAGATTCGTTTATAAGCAGAATAAGAAATATAATAATTAATAATAATAATTTAATATAATAATATAATAATTTAATTGCTTCGAAGTATTTTTTTTAAAAAAAAAATATATTTCGATTTTTGTAAATTTTAAATATAAATTTATGTTGTAAATATCTGGAAAGTTTTATTTATATAAATAAACAACTCATGCTTAATATATTAAACGTTACACTTTGAATGGTTTTAGTGTTATTATCCTTTTTTTTTAATATCTTTTCTTAAGGGATCAAAGTAATACGTTGAAAAAATACATTTATTCAAACCAAATATTGTGTTTTAATAGTCTTTGAATGTGCAATGCTCGCGGAATTTTTTTATTTCAAAAATAGAACACAAAGTTATTAATGTCATAATCACATTATATTGACTAATTTGTTGAATTTGATCCCTGAAATGTCTTTGTGAGATAATGTTCATTTTGTCTGGATTTGTTGCAGCATTCCCCATATAGATTTGTGTAAATATAATTTTTGCCATCACCAAGAAATGATTTCTTTTCATATACGTGTAATAAAATTCAAAAAAAATTAGAATCATCGTCATTATTGTCATCCAATTCTAATGGTAAATCTAAACAAGGAACTTGACCATTTATTAAACATCCAATAGGACATGGATTCCATTCTTCAGGATTAAATAAAACCATCGATGATGTTGATGGCGATGATGATGAATAATTGGATATTTTTTGATGAGAATCTGATGAATATAATCCTTGAGTTGAAGATGATGAAATTTTCTAAATTTATATATATATATATATTTATTTATTTATATTTATATTTATATGTATTGATTTTTGAATCAAAAAAAATTTTTTTTCATGTTTAATGATAATTGTATTTTTTACCTGTTTACTTTTTAAAATTAAAATTAAATTATTTTCCAATTTTGAAATCTCATTTTTCATTTCTTCGTCTGTTAATTTTGTACCAACATTGTGATTTTCGAGATTATTATTATTCTAATTAATTATTGTAATAAGGAAAATTTTTTAATGCTATATATGTATACTATTTATTATATTATTTATAAGTGTTGATTAGAAAGATAATTTACACCATCATTGTCATTGTCATTATTATGAGCATCTTCAACTAATTTGTCAATATAGGATAGAAATGGTCGACTATTTGATTTTAGTTTCTCATCATATTCGACTAATGAAAGTAAAACAAGTCTTGTACTATTTAATAATAATAATAATAATAAAAATAATTAGCTATAACACAATTAATTGATTAGTAATAATGGCAATGGAATAATCCCACTCTCTCCATAACAACCCTTTCTATAACAAACACTAAGTAAAATCACACTATAACGAACTTCTCCTCTTTTCTTTTTCTATTATTACTCTCTATAGAGAACAAAGACACAAAAAAAAATACAGGTAGCTCAAAAGTTCATTATATAGAGTGTCGACTGTAAGCAAGCAAGCTACTTACTATTTATTCGGTTTTCTTAAGCAAAATTCCAAAATATAATCCAAATCCAAATCTTTGAAATGTTCACTATTTTTATTGTGATAATGCTTGATAAAATAATTTATCCATTCAACTAAATAAATTTAAATAAAAATTAAATCTATAATAATAGTATTATTATTATTACTACCACTATTGTTGTTGTTATTGTTTACCTATCGTTAAAAAATAAGATGAAATTGATTTATGTGATGGTAATCTTGAGCTTGATAATTTAGGAAGAATTTTATCCTTATAATAATCCTCATTATTAACTAATATTTCCAACATTTCCTCGACAAGCTCATCAATGAAATTTGACCATGTTTCATCAAATTTCTTTAACATTGGTAACCATAAATTGATCAATTCCTCAGATAGATTAGGGATTGTTGATGAAACTCTTTTTCTAATAAAATAAATTAGATTAATTATTAATTAATTAAATCAATAATAATAATAATAATTTATTTATTTATGCATGTATATATGTAAATATTTACAGTTTTCCTTTAGGTAGAAGAAATCCAACATCCAATATAACGGGAATAATTATATTTCCAATATATTCACTATTTATTAATTTAAAAATATTATCAAAGGTTTTGGATAGGTTTTGGTTATTTGGATTTTGATTATCTAAAATTACAAAATAAAATATTATTTAATCAACAACAATACAGGTATAAGTTTATTTTAATTTTAATATTTTACGTTTTAGATAATATTTTCTTTCATCCTTGTATTGAATTATTAATTTTGTAATCTCATCAATATGAGTTGATTTTAATGGTTTTTGACTTGTCCAATAATTATCAGAGAGCCATTTTAATGCCTAAATACGAATTTAAATTCATAATAATAATTATAATTATTAATTAATAGTTAATATAAATATTTCATAATATTTTTATAAATTACTTGTTTGGAAGCATTCCTTAGCACATTTAAACTTGGAAGATCTTGATGTGTACTAGCATGCCTTAATTCAACAAACCATAATGGTAGATTAAGTTGCCCCGCTAATGTGGAAATTGAAATGGCATAATAATTCTGTTGAATTGGATCAACCAAACCATTAACAAATCTTTTTTTTTAAAAATATTAATTATATAAACTCATTATTATCCTAAATAATTGATTAATTAAATTAACTATATGATTTTTATCATTTGTTCACCTTATTAGTACTATAGAATATAATAATCTTAACTCATATTGGGATAATTTTCCTTCATTAAATTCATCACTCAATGTTATTTCTACAAATGAAGAAGTACTTATAATAGAATGTGGAACTTTTCCTCGATTTATCCATGCTTTAACCTATGTATGTATATAATTATTATCTTTATATGTATAAATAATTATGATTTTCTTTGATTTTTTACCCTTTTGACACCTAATTTTTTTAAATCTAAATTTTCTGAATATAACCATTCATGAACTTGTGTAAATTCTTCGGGTGAAGTCCAAGGAATTATTCTAGGAATTTTAGGCATTTTTATCAGAAAAAAAAATATAGTAAATTTTGCCCAAAATATTATTGGCCGAAAACTGTATTTAGACTGATTGGCTGATCGTTTTAAATTTGGGTAGGCTTTTTTTTCTCAAAATTTAGTTGATATTAAGATCACCTTAATATTAATGAATGTCTCTAGTCAAAGCAGATATTTATTTGGACAATTTTTTGACTACTACTTTTTGTCTGCATCCTCCTTTTTTTTTAATCATTTTGTTTTCATCACCTCATCTTGTATTCTATGTATATCACACTTGAATCATCTTAATCAATCAATTATATGTTAATTATAGATTTATCTATTATTTATTAATCTCAGACACATAAAAAAATCCTATAGTAAAACATTTTGACATGTCAGCATCAAATAGTGGTGCATGATGATGGCATGTAACGGGAAATTAGTTTAAAGCTGGTGGGAAGTTCAAAATAATTAATTTAATTTTTTGAAATATAGGTTAAACCTATATAAATGACAGAGAGGGAGCTAGTAAATGTACAAAGACCCCGTGACACCTGAAGAAACAAAATAGAACATTTCCAGATATTAATTTGAATAAAATAGAATTGCATTATAGAATAGAATAAAATTGACAACATCTTCCTCACCTTTCATAATCATCATCATTATTATCACCATCATGATTATTAGTCAAGAAGATAAATACGTGATGATATATCTCCAACAATCCAATCCATTCCAGAAAGAAGATTTTCACCAGTGACAGCACTACAAGCTTGAATAGCCCAATGATGAGTTAAAATTGAATCTAATTCAAGGCCCTAGAAAATAATTACATTCATAGTAGTAATTTAATAAATTAATATGTTCTGATCTGACACCAGCAACAACAACAACAACAATAAATTAATATTCATTCACATTTCTAATTTGTTTATCATTGAGTGCACCAGGAAGATCTTGTTTATTGGCAAAAATTAACAATGATGCACCAGCTAATCTCTATTTCCAAAAGATAATGGAACATAATTAGTTAATTGATTAATTAATTCATTGATCCATGGAATTAATTGGTTAATTAGTTCACCTCTTCTTGTAGTAACGCTTTTAATTCATTTTTACAATCACCCAAACGCATTCTATCAACACTGTCAACTACCCAAATCACTCCATCAGTTTGTTCAAAATAATTACGCCAATAAGATCTAATTGATTTTTGCCCGCCCACATCAAATATATGTAATTTAAATCTATCATAATCGCCATCATTCATACAATATAACAAACATTAGAATAGAATCATTTTTTAAAAATAAAAATAAAAATAAAAATTCGTAAATAAATACTCATTATGCTCCAATGTCTTGATATTAAATCCAAGTGTTGGTGAAATAGTTTTAATGTCTTCGCCATTTAAACGTTTCAGGATTGTTGTTTTTCCAGCATTGTCAAGTCCTCTGTTTTTTGCCAATGTTCAAATAATTCAATAATTTTAATTAATTGAACTTTCTGAAATATTAGCATTGTTGTTTTTGTATTGTTATTACAAGTTCTACTTACAGCACCAACAATCTCATCTCCTTTTCCTTCTGGCGAATTTTACGTAAAATTGATAAAAGCCCCATTTTGCCTTGTAATTTTTTTTATGACAACGACTTTTTATATTCAAAATAAAAATTTAATTGGCTCGATTTTTAAAATTGATGTACACTAATTCTAAAATCTTGATTTTTTTAAGTAAATCAAATGGCTATATAAAGAGTATTCCTTTTTTCTAAAAACAGTTTAGGCAAGCTATTGGCTATATACAACGTACCTGAAAAACCAACCACTAAAGTTGAGATGACAATTGGGAATCTGCTCTTAATGCTTTTATGTTACAGACCAATTGGCTATTAAACTAATAAAAAAAGAGATCCCAACGAGAAAGAATGCAGT